TAGAATATATACATAATATATATATATATATATAATAGATATATATAATCAAACAACTTTATTATTATAATGATAATAAATATATAATAATCTTTTGAACTTCAGATTTTGCCTATTCAGTTTTCTTTCTTATTATTTCTATACTTTTCATCCATTAGTTTCTCAATTCTTTTTGATATTTTTTTTAAATTCTCTTGAGTGATTTTATAATTATAACCTGATCTTACCTTTTAATAGATCTCTCTATCCACTATTTCCTCTCACTTTTGCTTTTCTAATTTTTATATTTTTTCTTGATTAGTTCTTTTTTTTTTTTATTTCTTTAAATACTCTCACATAATTCAGAATCATGTTAATTTCTATTATAATTTACATTTATTCTTATATCTTTCTTTATTTCTTTTTTCATTATTATCACATCTTATTTATGCATATATTTATATATTTATATATTTATATATTATTTTGGCATTTTCTAATTTAATATTATATATTAATTTATATATAATTATTATTGTATATTTTCTCATTTTTTCTTAGCTTCATAGTTATAGAAAACACATGAAAATAATAATTGAATTTCTAGCTATTGACAAAAAAACAAAAGAAAAAATAGAAAAATTAAAATAAATATTAAATCGAAAATTGAATTAGTATAAGATTTTCAATTATAAAAGAAAAAACATGATAAATATTATTATAAAGACATTATATGTATTGTTAAACTAGCAAGAAACAACAAAAAAATTACAAAAGACTGTATACAATCAAATAAAATAAAAAATGTAAAGGAAAAACAAAAAGAGATTTTAGATGAAAAAAGTTCATACGTATATAGGACTTTAATTAATGAATTATAAATATTTTAAGTTTATATTAGTAATATATAAATAGACTTAGACAATGAAAGAGAGAAAAAACATGATTATCAAATAAGACTTAGTTTCAGAGTCTGACATCACACTCTCATTTTTGAAAATAATAGAAAGAAAAAAATTAACTGGACACAAAGCATAGTTGCCGGGCGCGGACTTTACATTATTTTCATTATTATTAAATATGCTTTCATTATTATTAAATTTTTATCTGATAAAATTGTCGGATAAATGCGATATGTTACCTCCTCTATTATTAAAAATGGCTCAATTCCTGTACAGCAAATTTCTGCAAGATGAGAATACGTAATATGGATATCACATTATCTTATTATATTATTATATTATTTTAGAGATACATTACATGATTAAACTTCAAAGCGTTGAATTGCATTGTCACATATATACTTTTGTCTAATTTAACAATAATAATAGGAATAATATAATGTTATAAATTCTTTTTCTAGAAATTTGCCGCAAGAAAATTGAACTTTTAATGATATAGGGAATAGCATATTACTCTCGTACGGCCTTTCTAAAAATATAAATACCTTTTTCTTCAATTATCCTTCAGCAAATTAATAAGTGATATACAAATATATATTCACTTTTAAATATATATATATATCAACTACTATAATCAAATATCGTTATTTGATAGATTATACATAAATAATAAATAAAAAAAAATTGTTTTATTTTATTATTGAATAGACATTATATTATTGTCTTTTAAATCGATTTACGCTTCTTTTTTTTGGTAAAATAATTAAAAAAACACAAAATAATAACAAAAAATAATCTAAATTCTATAGAATATATATTATTTTAATATATATATATATATATATAAATCATATACAATATATGAAATAACAAACATCTATTTTCTATCATATAATAAAAAAAAATAATATCGAAAAGCAAAATATTAACATAATAAAAAATAATAAAGAATTAAAATACAAAATTTATCTCCTTATTTAAAAATCACAGAAAAGGTAGAAAATTGAATTTTGAAAGGATTTATTCATATAAAAGAAATTTTATTTTCAAAATTAAAATACGATGCAAAAATAATACCAAATATGTTTCATTAATGAACTTTTTTAAAATAAAAAATTCTATTTAAAGATAAAATTAACTCAAAATTGTTAAATTTATATTTTGAATTTTGTTAATATTAAATTAATTAAATCAAATATTTTATATTATAATTTAATATATTTAATTTAATATATTATAATTTAATTTATTATAAATGGAAAAAAAATGAAATTCCTTTCAAATTTCAAATTAATTTTTCCAGGAGATATGTTTGGTAAAATAAACTATATTTCAGTTCGTATCAGTTTACTGTATTTCAATGTTGAATACGGCGTATTATCAGTTAAATGCAAATAAATGCACGCACATCGAAGCAGTAACGGCGAGAAAATGATTATCACTTCTGACATCCAAGCCGCCCTACAATCAATGTGTCTAAAAATTTTTATAATATACGGGTGGAACCAGCCGATAGCAGTTCTTCTTTTCTTTCATTAACTATTTCATTAACTTATAAAAATATTAAAAATATGATTATTTAAAAAAAATGTTTCTAAAAAATATAAAATAAGAAATTAAATAAAAATTAATAATATTAAATATTTTAAATTAATATTGGATTGAATTATTTAGATGAAGTTCAAATTAATGAAACAAGTAAAAAAAATAAATTTAAATTTTAATAAACAAATAATAATGAAAATTATTTAGAAAATTATAGTGTATGTATATAAAAGTAGTAATAATAATATAAAATTGATGTAATATTGTTCAAATAAAGAATTATTACTACAATTAAAATTGAAAAAATATTGAAATCTAATAAAAATGATAGTAATTATTAAAACAAATTATAATAATTAAATAATTCGAAAAATAAATAAATAGTCGAGGAACGATTGATTTTCGCAGTCTAAATTTGTTCTTATGCTAATAATATATAATGAGTAAACTATGCTATGCAATATAATGAGTAATAAATACTAATGTGATGTATAATACGTATTAATAATCAGATAAAAGACATTAGAATATCTTTTATATTGATATAATAGAGAAACGTGGAATTATGTATTTTTTATATTTTTAGTGATCAGAAAAAATAAAATTAATGAAATTTTTATTAAAATAATTATTTTTTCATTATATTTTATAAATTTATAATTTATAAACGTAATCGATATTAAATTATATCGATATCAATTATATACGATTAAATTAGAAATTGATTACATTTATAAATTATTAAATTTTCATATGTAATTTGTTTAATATTATTATTAAATATAATGTAATTTAATGAAGAATTAGTTTACAAATATTACTCATTCTTCATTTCAGAGTTCTTCCACATCTCTCTTATGTATTATTATAAAACTACATTTCACTTCCTCGAAACTTAATATTGTGAAAATAAATTTGTGTGACCAGAAAAGGAAGAAAGAAAAACTAATGCTTTCGGCCAATTGATCCGTAATTTAATAAAAGAGCGAGTGTAACGCAGACTTGAGCGCCTGTCAAGTGAAATTTTATTCGAAAATCTACGAACAAATTTTAAGTTATTTGAATAAATATTATTCAAAAAATAAAAATACTTTAAACAAACAATCTCATCTACAAAGAGTGCTAGATAAAACAAATTTTACATAATTATATTGAAATAAATAAAATAATTTCATCCTTAATTTAAATAATTATTTAAATTATATAAAATTACATCATATAATGTCTAGCACTTATAGACATAACTAGAAGATTAGCTTGCGAATTTTTATGCATTTATAAAAAATTTAAAAATATAAAGATGTAGAGAATGCACATAATATAAAAAAATATATACAATATTTAAAGTAAATTATTTCTTATAATACTTAGTAGATGAAACAATTGTTTAAATTCCACTTGTTTAATTATGTTCATAAAAATATGAATTAGCATAAACATTCACAATCTAGATAATTGACAATTTAATTTTTTGCAAAAATTTGTTCGTTAATTATTCGAATAAAGCTTTTCCGACTTTCAAACGAAAGAAGGCGCATATAACTTTGGATAGAAAGAGGTGTGCGGCTAAGGGAGCTGGCTCGTGTTTTCAAGATGAAAAGACGAAAAAAGATTATTTAATCCTCTTTCTCTGGTTTCTCGACATCCTGTTTTTCTTCAGCCTCTATATCTCCCTCAAATTTCGGTCCTGGTGTTTCTTCTCCTTCAAGAACGATTTCTTCTGGATCAGGTGCACGAGGAAGGAAATCTTGATCAGGATACATAGATTGAAAGATGCTCTTCGCCTTAAGAAATTAAAAAATTTATAATAATAAATATTAACACAATTAAAAATGTTGTAAAATGAATTAAATTATAATTTAAAAAAAAATTAACCTGATTAACAGCAAAATCGAAATCAAGTTCTAAATCTGGACCTGAACACAGATGAAGATTACTAGGCGTAGAATCATTCAATTTAATATCACTTGCAGGTAAATTTAAATATAATGACCATAAAACTTGAGGTTTTGGGTTCTCTGTAGATTCTTCTCTACCATCTTGATCACCTTCCTGTATTATATAAAAAATAAATTTTTTAGTTTTAATTTAAATAAGAATATAACAAAAAAATGTAAAAAGAAATTTATCTATTTTTTAAAATTAAAACTATTTTGTAAAAAAATAAATAAGATAAATATTTTCTAAGAATTATACAATAATCTTTAATAAATTAAATCCAAATTTATATTTTTAATATCTTAGAAAATTAAAACTTAAATTTAAATTTTTTTATATTATTTTTAAATTTCTTTTATATTAATTTGTTTCATAGTTTTAAAAATATTTCTAAAATAAATTTATAACATAAGTTCAATAATATAATTTTTATATTTATTATATTATATTAATTTTTATTATATTTCTAAAAATTTGAAAATATATATTAATTATTTCTATTTGAAAAATTATATTGAATATATTGTAAATAAATATTATAATAAATGTTATATTATAATAAATAATAAATGTTTAATAATAAATTTTATGTAAAAATGAATTTAAAATATATGATTTATTTATAATGTACCTGGAGGTGTCTTTTATCTGGAGAAACAGTTTGTGTATGACTATGAATAGATGAACGAATAGCTAATGGATCGAGAGGTTCAGCTCTTAAAAATTTATTGACAACATAGGCCAAGTCTTCTTTTGCATTTGTTGTTCGTTTACATGTCATATGAACCATAACTGTTTAAAAATAAATTGATGAATTCTTAAAATTTATTAATATATTAACATTCATAGACATAATTTTACATACACAATCCTTGAGGGCAAGCATTTGTAGATGGTCCCAATTCAATCAATGTAACAGGTTCTTGATCAGATTGTTCTGGAGGATAATATAAAAGTGTCAAATTTTCCTTTTCACCTTGCATAATTGACCTAAAATAAACATAATTTTATAAAAAAAATTTTACATAAAAAAAAAGAAATTTTAAATATTTATATTTATTGCTATGAATTTATTTATAAATCTTTCTAATATTTAGTACTTTTGAAATAGCAATGATTTTGATTTTGATTTTGACTTTAAATGATTTTTTAATATATTCTCAAACATAATTTTAAATAACTTTTTTGTTAGACATAATGATTTTAGTTTTATGAATTATTTGCAAAAATTTTGAATTATTATATCAAATTCTGCTTATATGTACATCCATGACATATATATCGATATGCAATCGTAATTAAGGATGGCTGACAATGCATATATATGCATATATGAATTCATTGAATCTTATTTTTTCTATTATAATAGTTATAAATAATTAGTTTATTAATAATTAATAGTTATAAATAATTTTTGCATTAATTAAATTTGTGAACAATTGTATTCAAATGATTTATAAACAGATCTTTTAATTTGCAATTTTCTACATAAACAGTTAATATTATTTTATATATATTATTATATATATTTTAATATTATTTTGTTTATATTATTAACAAATATAAATCGCAATAATTTGTAGTATTCCTAATGTAGATGTAGTAAATCTAATTTCTTTTTTTTACCTTTCTTAATAAATACCTATAATAAATACTAATATTAATACTAATAAACACCTGTCTGTAATGAAGATTCCACGTGATATCCGTTGATCTCCTTCAGAAGCTACAACTTCTGGTGGTAAATGGCCTTGACCAACAACTAAATGTTCCAAACTTATTCTTTGTTTACCACTAATGATAGCTTTGCATTGGTTTTTATGTATTACTATACCATCAAGTTGCCTTTTTAGACAATAAACTCCTCCAAATACTGCACATAATCTATAAATAATAACAATCAAAATATTTTTTATTATTTATAATTTACATATTATACATTACAATAATAATTATTATAATAAAAAATATAATTATACCTGCAAAAACACTGAGGTAATTCACCACTACCATACATAGGCCAAAGAAAGGGTGTATTTCCATATCGTCCAAGACTATTCAAAAAATGTTTTGTGCGATTCACACCATCTCTACAGGAAGTTTTTTCAGTAGCCATAGCAATTGCTTGAACAACATAATGCTGCACAATTGGTGTTAAATTTTTTGTGTTTAAATATTCTAAGAAGGTTTTATCACGAAATCCTGTTAATAAATACATCTTATTAATTAAAGCATTAGAAAATATGATTATATTATTTATAATTAATATATTAATTATAATATCGTTATAATATCGTAATATTAAAATTAAAATATATTATATTAAATGTAATTAGATATAAATTGTTATTTGTTGTTATTTGTTTGCGACTTTAAAAAAAATATTTATTATAAGATACATAAAAATTTTTCTTTCTATCATCTTAAAGTTGCAAATTATGTTAGTGTTATAACAAATGATTAAAATATCATTTGTATTTAATAACAATTCATGAATAAAAATTTAATGTTTTGAATTGATTGAATTAAATTATTCCAATTCATTTTTCAATATGCACTAATGATACATTTTTTTTATGCATTTTATTATTTTAAATTTGATAATTTTTCTTTAATAAAAAAACTATTGCATTTGGAAAGAAATGATTATTAAATTCCTTTTGTTATTAAATCATGTATTATTATAAATAATTTAAATACTTTCTTTCAAAATGAAACAAAATATTATCATTATATAACAAGTATCTATACTACAAAATTGAAATTAAAAATAAAAAAAATAAGAAATTACCATCAAATTCTGGACTATCAGCTCCTTGTTCCATGCATGAAGTGAGCAGTTGCATTAACATTCTTTTCTCAACAACACTAACAGTTTTATTTGCAAATACATCAGCTCTTGAACAAGGTACTTGTGTCAGTTTCCCATCCATGAATGTAGCTACTCTGGATACTGCGCGAAATTCCGCATAGCGGGCAATATTACTGGAGATTAAAAGCTCAACCAATTCACCTCGTGCAAATAACAACTGTCATAAATAAATAATATTAAAATCAACTAACACAATGAATTTTTATATAATCATAAAAAATAACATTGCAAATTTTGAAATAAATATTTGATATATTAAATAAAATATATCAAATATCATAATATGAAAAATAAAAAATAAATATTTTTAGTAACTTCTTTCAATTTTGACAATATCGTTAACAATATCAAATTTTTTTAGAAGTCTCATTTCATTATTAAAATAATTTTAATTAATGCAATTTAAAAAATTAACGTAACTTCTATTATTTTATTAATAAAAGCATACATTTTTCTATTACTTTATAAAAATATATAAGAATATGATATATTTCTTCTTTACTTAATTTAATGTACAAAATTTATTAAATTAAATGTAAACAAATGAACAATCAATAATAATATATAATAAGTACAAAATGTAATAATAATATAAATAATTAAATATTATATATAATTATAAAAGATATTTTTATATTTTACCTTTGGTGCCAAATCAATATTAAACTTCCTGTATTCCTTTCTTATACGATCTATACTCCATTGTTTTACATTTTCCTTTTTTTCAACTTTATCATCATCTGCTTTTTCATCACCACTACCATTACTATCTCCAGTACTATCTGTTTGCGTATCTTTTGAAGACACTACTGGTAGATCAGCATCACTATAATAAAAACATAATTAAATAAAAAAATAAAACACATGAAATTGAAAAAGAAAACTTACTTTGAAATATACCAGGTTTCCTCAATATTTTCAACAGTCGAATATTCATTACTAGTTTCTAAAAACTTTTCTTCAGATTCTAAATCTACTTCAGATACATGCTTAGTATTATTTTTGGAAACTTTTAGGTCCTCTATCCATTTCTGTAGACCATCAAAATTAAATGTTGCCCATAGGCCACCATAATATTCATCACTACGAATAAATAAAAAATTATTTATTTAAAATTTTAATTAATTAAAATGAAAAATATTACATATAGAATAAGATATAATGATTATATAATAATTATTATATTTTAAATTTCAAACACAATAAATAAATATTATGTATTTCTCAAAAGAAATTCTAAAAGAAAAAATGAAAGTGTTTATTTTTTATGAATTTAAATTATCATATAAGAATAAACAAATAATAATTGAAAGTCTCATATATTTATAAATAAACATCTTGTAACAAATTGAAAAAAAAATATTCTAATACTATTTCTAATTATATTTAAAAAATTTTTTAACATAACAACATATTTATTGTTTATATTTATTGCTTTTTAGAATAAACAAAAATAAATAAAACAATTAATAATTATTAAATTCTTGTTTTTACAATAAAAAGATATAATATATTATATAATATAAAGATATGAAATTTCAAATAATCATGAATGTAAATTATTTATTGCATAAAAAAATTTTATAAGATACAAGGATATAATTTGATTTTTTGCAATTGCATATTAAAAAATATATGAAGATTAATTTAATTTCTTTGAAACTGAATCACATATTCTTTGCAACTTCGATAGAAAATGATTAATTTTTTTTTTATTAATTTATTTTCTTTTTTTGAAATTCTATTTTAATCTAATTTTTTAAAGATATTCGCTAATTTCTTTTTAAAGAATTTCGCTAATTTTAAAAAAATTTTTGATTATATAATTATTTCTAATTATACATTATAGCATCATAAAGATCTAACATCAACTGTTCATATCAATATCAATTGGTTGAATGATTAAATTAATATCTATAAGTCAATACAGATAATCAATTTCAATATTTTAACTTGAATTATTTAAAACTTATTTTATAAAAAATAAGAAAAAAAAAAAAAAACAAAAGAAAATTATTTATGTGTTTCATATAGTAAATTTTATATAAAATTGAAAATAAAATATCTTTTATACTAATTTAGTTTTTTTAGTTGAAAATAAATTAATACTTTTTTTATAAGAAAAAAAATAAATATTAATAAATGCACTCAAAATTACATGATTTTATTTAAAAATATAAAAGTGATTTTTCATATGTTTTATATGAATATGTCCAACAGTAAAAATCAAATTATATCCATTTTTACATAACTTTTGAATAAAATATTTTGTAGCAAATAATTTATGAATAATTTGATTTTTATATGACTTATAGTTATAAGTTTTAAAAAGTATTTGTATATCATTATATTTATTATAACATTTATATACAAATTAATTTATATTATTTATATTATTTTTATTTATATTATTATATAAAAAATTAATTACATTCAAGTATATTAAACTTTATAATGTTATTTAATAATTATTTTTATATAATATTATATAAACACATTTTAATACTAAAAATTTGAAAATTTAAAAACGAAATTAAAATACAAAAAGAAAAATATAAATATCTGTTTTTTACAACATATTTCAGATTTCAAAATCATCTCCATTTAAATGATATTATATTGTATATTGTATCCATTTTTATTCCTAGTAAAATATATAGTGGACATTTATATGATTTCAATTTTTTATTAGTTTTATAAAAAAAATTAATAATAATTAATACATCAAAAATCAAATTTATTTATTATATTATTTATTATATAAAAAATAATTTACAAAATACAAATTTATAACTAAATTTAATATTTTTTTTCATATTCACAATAAATTTTACAAAATAAAAAAATATTTTTTTTATATAAACAGTTTTTTTATATTTTTAAAAAAATATTTAAATAAATTTTAATATTAATAATATATATAATATANATATAAATATATAAAATTAATTTATCTTTTTTATATAAAAATATAACAAAAACAAATGTTCCAATATAAAAACTAAAATTTATATACAAATAAAATATTCCATAAGAAAGAATAATTTTATCAGTATACTTTATAAATTATTTTAATAAATAAAAAATGTTATATTGTATATATTATGGTTCTTAATTCATGGATTTCTGATTTAAAAAAAATATATTCCACATAAAATTGGAATAAATAGCTTCTTACTTTATATATATATATATATATATATATACATATTATATATCTTTTCATAATGTAAATTTATTTAATATTTTATTAATTATCTTTTTCATTTTATTTTTAATGCTATCATTATTATTAATTTGTAATTTTGATTTTATATATATAAATTTTCAGTTTTTTTGAATAATGAGATATCCAATGATTTGGATATTATCATTTATATTATTTGAATATTGAATTTATTGAATTATTTGAATACTATATTTAAATATTATCATATTTTATATCTACTATATTACAAAAACATCATATCTATATTTTATATTTAAAATTTTAAAAAACATTATAAGAACTAAATAGGAACTGAATTATTGAATTCAATTGACAATTTGAAATTTATACTTAAATAAATTCATAAATATTATCTACTTGAGTTTTTTGACATAATGATTGAACATAAGTAAATATTTTATTTTTTAGGAGAATAAATAAATAATTTTCATAAAGAAAATCTGAATATATGTAATTTTTTTAGATTTAATTTTAAAGAAATAAAGAAAATTTTAATTTTAGAAAATATATAAAATTAAATATATAAGTATAACTATATATAAACTAAATATATAACTAAATATATAAAAATAAGTATATAAAGAATTTAAATTAAAAGTATTTTTTTAATCCTGTTTGTTCTTATAACCAAATATTATAATTTAATATTTTTATCACTTCTTAATATAATAATTAACATAAATGATTTCCAAATATGCTACTCTTTTTAGAGAAGTATATTTAAAATATCTTATCTATCATTTCAAAAATTTGAAAAATTTGAAGCTCATTAAAATAAATAAATTAAATTAATTATAGATTTCATATGAGTTTTTTGTTTTTTTAAATGATAAAAGAATATATTTTCATATAAATATATTTTAAAAAATAAATAGAACATTTTAATTAAAGAAGGTAATATATATTTATATGTTAAAAAAAAAATAAATTGCTTATGATAGATGTTATTTGTTCATAAGGAACATTATATATTTTATTTATAATTTTATTTACAAAGAATAATTTTATTTGGAATATATATTTGATTTATTCATATTTATTTATCTAAATTATTTAAATGATTTTAATAGTAGAATAATTAAAAGTACTTTATTTAAAATTACAAAAATAAAAAAAGAAACACAAGCAAAATTAAAAAATAATTAGTATATAATAAGTATATAATTAATATATATACTATATAGAAAAATATAAGAAAAAATTTCACTTTCAATTTCCAGAATAGAAAATAATTACATAAGTACATAAGCTATATATATATATATATATATATATTATTGAAATATTGAAATATTTATAATTATCAATATATAATTGAACAACATAAAATCAAACAACTTAAAAACAAAACTCCCAAATTTTTAATAGCATATTATGAAAATTTAATATTTCAAAATTATAAAATTTTTAAGTTAATATCAAAGAATTATATATATTAATTCTAAAATTTAACTTTTTAGTTTTTTAACTTTTTAATTTTTAATATCAAATATTTCTTATTTATTTAAGTGTAATTACTCTTATATGAAAAAAATGTTATTTTTGTTCAATAAAGAATTAAATATTTAATAAAAAGATACAATTAGTTACAAGTTTTCATATTTTTATTTTATATTTGAATTTAATAAATAAAAAAATAATATATAATGTAATAATATATATATATATATATACACATATGTTATCTTTAATAGTACAATATGGAACATAGGATGAAATAAGGAATAAGCAAAATTTAAAAATTACAAGAAAATGTAAGCATATGGAGAAAAAATGTATAAAACCAAAAAATAATTGACAAGAAGCAATGAAATTAGAAAAAAAAAATCAAGAAATAAAAAATAAAAGAATGAGAACGAAGAAAAAAGAAGAGAGAAAATTTGACATACCTGTCTAGGTGAAGGACCTTTTTACCGATTCTACTTGCAGCTGCTGCGACAATAGATTCTGTCATACCTATAAAATTAATAAATAGTTATAAAAAAGCAAGAAAATAAATAAGACATATATTGTAAAAATCAATACCCGTCCCTACGACGACGACATCATATTCATTTGGTAGATAGTCTTCCATGGCTTCCAGCTGTAAATTGCAATAGAATGTAGGATTGTGAACACAAATAGTTTTACTATTCAGTGAAAGAATGACTAAGAAATCAATTCATTTCTAATGAATTCCGTCAATTACATTGAGTGAAGGGCCACTCCCGTCGTTTCGCTCCGAACTTTCACTGTTTCACGACAATCTCAAAACTCCAATTTGACAGAACAGGACGCTATAGATTCTAAGTGAACTCAATGCTGATTCGTCAGAGTTTAGTCTCGGAAGATAAAATAACTAGATATTGCCGTTATCGGTAGTTTATACCTTAGACTATATGTACTTATAGATATGATTTTAGATAATTTTAAAGCATAGATAAAATCATCTACATGACTTTTATGTATGTAAAATGAATGCAAAATAGAAAATTTTTATTTTCAAAGCAATGTATAAATATTTATAAAACATAACTTAATCATTATTAATTTTTAAATAATGTTCATTATATTATATTTTAAATTATAATTTAAATATTAAATATTTCGAAAAAATTAAATTTAAATTAAAATATTGATAAATTAATATTAATAATATTGGTAAATTAATTAATTGATAATATTTAATTTGTAATTATTTTCTTATAATTTATTTTAATTTAAAAAAAAATTGTAAGAACAATATACAGATCTAAAAAAAAATTATTTATTCATTATTATTATTAGTTGCAAAATAAAATCATTTTAATAAATTTACTTTTTATGCAAAGTTTGAGGATAAGATAAAATATATTTATATAGAAATTATATTTCTAACACAATTATACTTTTAATAAATAAAAGTTTAAAGAGAATGCAAAGCTTTTTTTCAGCTTTAGTTCAACATATATTTTGGACTTATTTTATTTTGATTATCATTTTTATCATTCTTTATAATTTTTTGAATATGTTTGCATCATTATTAATAATTATTTAAAAATTATTCATAGGTAAATCAAAAGTAATTGCTTATAATATATATTTGATACACTATTCACTATTTTAAATTATCTTTTACATATAATATCATATTTTCTTTATTATCTTTGCTTCAATTTATATATGGGATGTCCATGTATGAATCGTGACTATAAGTATACAGTTTAAGATTTGCACAAAAATATGAGTGAATAAAATCCAACTCCATGTTTCATTACTATTATTATTAATGTGGCTCCTTTTAAAATATATACAATTAATAAAATTAATAAAATTATATTAAATAAATATTTTAAATATAAAAAATTAAATTGTACATGAAAAATAAAATATTTATGAAATTTATAGAGTAAAACTAATGTTAAATTTTAAAAAATAAAAACATTACAATTATTTTAATGTTTTTTTATAAAATATAAAATTATATAAAATATTTAATCATTCAAGAAATTTTTTAATTTTATATTACATTACTATTTTTAATCTATATATAAAAAATAATCAAATATATTACATTTTTTTTTTATAATAAATAGAAATTATTTTATATATTTTATTATATTACATTAAATGTAATATATATATATTATATTTATATAAATTTATAAAAATTCTTTTATTAAATTTTTAATATTAAACATTAATTTTTAAAAAATTAGTTCTTAATTCTTTAAACCATTATAATGACAATAATATGAGTTATTATTATTGAATAATGTATATATATATATATATTTTTTTTTTGTAAAATACACTTGGAAAAAATTATTATATTAATTTATAAAAACATTTATTCAAATATATATGTATATATATATTTAATAAAATACATATTATAATTTATATCAAATTAATAAAGAAAGTTATAAAGTAAAGTAATAAAGAAAAATTAATAAAGAAAGTTCTTTTCTTATAATTTTATAAAATTTTATTTCATTTTTATTTATCTACAAAATAAATTATAAAAGAAATAACACATTATAAAAACTATATATTTTTTATATAGAGAATATATTAAGCGAATATATTTTCTTTTCTTATCTGTTTTTATAATTTTAAAATCGTATTCATAAATATTAAAAAAAATTAGTTATAAATTAATTTAAATAATTATATTTCATATACAATTTTTTTTTATATCAAGTTTTAATAAATTAACAAAGAAAACATTAAATAACAATAAAAAATACTTTTTTTAAATACCTTTGTTAATTTTAATATTATATATAAATCATCACAATAATAAACTTAATAAGAACTTTTTTTCATCTGAATTTTTGTAAAACTGTTAAAACAGTATCATAGAGAAGTGTTCTAGCATCTCTACCCCACAAATAATCAATATGATTAAATTTTGCATATTCAATTTTTTTTATCTCTATAATATTTGGCAGTCTATCAATAAGTTTTTTTACATCTGTAGGATCAGTAAGAAAATCATTTTCACTATAAAATATTACAATTGGTGTTTTTACTTTCTCAAGATCATATTTTGGTGGTTGTGTTGATCCATAAATTTTTAGGTTTTCTGTTGCTCCATAATTGAATTTACGAAACGATCCTGTTAATAATAATATCAAATTAATTATATATCAATTTATATACAGAAAAATACATAAAAATATAATTTGTATACATAAAAATATAATCTATATACATAAAAATTTATTAATTTATATTGATAATTAAGAAATATAATTAAAATAAATAAAAGCTAAATATTTGAAAATAATTATATATTATTAAATAATACCTGATAATATACTTTGACTATAATGAATAATTTGTTTTGCAGAAGCTCCAGCTGGAAAATGTCCCAAAATTAATGGTAACATAGATTTATCTAACTGATTACTACCAAATCCAGCAATTAAAGAAAACCAGCATACACAAAAACCTTTAGTAAGACTGCCTGGAGCATTTCGAATTATTGTACTCAAAGTTTGTGCTTGCAATCTATTTCGGGGAAACCATTGATGTACATTGCAGTAAGAGGATCCCCACTGAAACATACTTATTATAAAAGTGTCACTCAAAATATATATATATAATATATTTTCTGATCAGAGATGGATCTATTTATATCATTTATAAAATATATCATTATGATCATTACACTGTTATATTTATATATTTAATATTATTAAATATAATTATATAAATATTAAATATTATTATATTTAAAATTTTTTAAAAATTTTAAACATATACATTAACATATATATATATATTTTTTAATAAGTATAAAAAATTTTATGTATAAAATATAAAGAAATATTTTATCGTGGCTATTATAAGTAAATATTAAAATATGAATCTATACATCAACTAATCTTTCTCATAAAAAATAATAAAAAAATTCTTGTTACTACTAAAGCATAATAAATTCTTATACTATTATTATTAAATGATTTAATTATTTAATGTTTATATTTCAAATGAAGTTTCAAAATAAATTAATATTATTATTTGAATATTTACTGATGCATATTAATAATATAATTATAAATCCAAATCAAATGTTGATATTTTTAATAAATAAAATATAATATAAAAATCTAAAAATTTCGATTTTTAAAAACATACAACAATAATAGTTTCTTCTTTATTAGCACAAATTCAATAGCACAATTGTTTCATAAATATATAGCTTGCAATATACCCGAATTTAGTAAATCATAACAAAAATATAAAACAAAAAAATATAAACAAAACATATAAAAATATAAATGAAACTACTACAAAATCTGCTAAATCTATATTAACAAATTCAAAATCATAAATTTAAATTGTAAATTTAAAAAAAAAATGATTATTATGAAACTAATGTATAAATTTAATTACTAAGAAATATTAATTAATAAAAGTCTATTTTTTGACTTAGAACAAAAAATAATAAGATAAATAAGATATTTTTCAATGTTTAAAATATAATAAAAACTATAAAATATTATTAATTATATTTTCATATTTATATTTTGTAAAATTATAATGCAAAGCAATTTGATTTGATCATAGTTATTATATTTTCAATGAAAATATAAACTCAAATGATAATATAAATCATATTTTTACTTAGAATGTAAACATTATATAATTGAAATTCATATAAATAATAATATTTATCATTTTTTATAGGAATGATTGTGATGCAACATGTAAATACTTTAAATGTGTGAATAATAGAATATATAGGAGTTACAAAATTAATATGTTCACAGTTCTTTGATTCATATATGAATCAGCATATTTCTAATTCATAAATTCTCCATTTTTAGATTAAAAATGTTTGGAAAAATTGAAAATTATATAACTTTTAATATGTACTTAAAATTTTTATGTAAGTATTTAAATAACTTAAAATTTCATATATAAGAAGTAATTAATATTTACTAATAATAAATATTATCATCATTACATATAAAATACAATACAAAAAAAATAAAATACAAAAACACAAAAAAAAAATAAAATATAAAATACAATACAAATACAAATATAAAAGAATCTTTATTTTTTTTTTTTATCAAGATAATGTAATGTGTATATTGAATTTTTAGAGATACAGAAAAAAATATGTTTTCATCCGTGAACGTGTTAATTTTGAATTTTAAAATCGAGCCCAATTTTGCAGGAAGTTTTTTAATAAATATCTCCAATCCAAAGTTGTAGAATCCACTGTGAGAGCTATAGCAAAATATTTCTTCATATGCTATATGTATGAAAAAATATTATTTATTTATTTGACATAATTAAATTTTTATTGAATATTATAAACATATTAATTAAATATTAATATTACACATAAATACAATTATCTGATTAAATTATACTGAATTTATTTTAATGTTTTATAAATTTATTGATTAATATTAGAAATAAAATTTATCAAAAATAATAAAATATTAATGAAATGCATAAAACATTAATTAAGATAAATAAAAAAACCAGTTTATATTTATAATTATTTATAATTATATTTATAATTAATTTATAAAAGATACTTTGTAATTGATGATATAATCAAAAAAGAAGTGATTGTATATGAAAAAATAAATTGAAAATATAGAATAAAATTTTTTCATTTAAAAATGTTTTTGAATAAAATAAGTTCTTTGTTTTTAAATAAAACAAGTTCGAAAAATTCAAGTATAAACTGTATAACTAAAATTAATTATTTCTTAATTAAATATAAATGAACAGAATTAAGTTGATTATTCTATTTTTTTTTATTCTAAAAATGTAAATAAATAAAAAATAGAACAAGTAGA